TCTTTTATGAGATTGAATCTAGACCGTCGATCAAGGTGACTTGTGGGGTGAGAGATCTGAGCCACCCATTCCATAGATGGGCCATCAACATTATAGAATGTGCTTGAACCATTATCCCCCTTTCCTTAAACCATTTTCCCATCAATATATTTAAATAAAATAAACATCATGTATTCCATAAAATTGCATGATCCATGTCACATATTCTATAAGGATATGTCAAATATTATTAAGTAAATAAATACTACCAAATATAAATAAGATAAGGTCAATATTTACTATCTATTCAAATTGACCATATCCCTTTAAAACAAACTTGCTATAAAACAAATAAAGACATGACCAATATTTCACTTCCAAGATTTGATCGCATGCCACAAATCAAACTTACTTTAACTTAAAGACTTGAACATAAAGCAAACAAAGAATCCAAAGGGTGGGGCGTACCACCCTTTTGTGGCACATGTAGGTCCCTAACCGCATGCCACATGGTGGACCCATGTGCACTTTGAGCTCTTATGAAATTTTATAAAAAGTTTAAAAAAAAAACGAATTAATATATATAAAGTTGAATTTTTACAACTTTGTAAAATCAATAACTGTATTTTATAAGTCCAAAAATCATAATTAAATTATTGAGAGATTCATAAAAATTCAAGTAATAAAACTAAAATCATTTCAATAATAGAATGAACACAATTAATTTAATATGATAGGAAAATGATCCATATTCTTTTAGGAATTCAATATGTAATTTTGGGTATTGCACCTTCAACTGTGGACTACAGACCACACTAGCTTTATCGAACCGACCCAGTGTTTCCCATGACCCACAATCCAAACAGGGGCTCATTAGCGGGTCACCAAAGTCAGGTCGATGAATCAAAGAGTCACAATTTCAGGATGTGGATTACAGGTCCTCCCCTAGAGACGAGTCAAGGTCACTACGACCTGATGCGACCACAGCTCTATGACGCATAGGGGTATCTCTCGCACATGCATACACTTCATCTAAAGACGGATATCTGGCTTTTTCAAACGATCTATCGATATGCATGCTGTGTGATGAAACATGGATGAGGTTTTGGGCCC